TTCTCCTAATTTGTGTGGAAGAAGGATTATATTAGTATATTATATTATATAGTTCTAAAGAAAATTGAAGAGGGTTCCAGCTTATACCTAGGACAGCAGCTTTGGCAGTTCTTTTCTATGGAGATTTGAAGGGACCCATTCACGTACCACATTGGGTGTTTGCACTACACGCGCCTTTCGTGCTCGGTCCGCATTGAAGTCCGACTATTTCAAATTCGCACCGTGTAGGGCTCTAATTTCAAAAAAATATTCATACTCAAATCCAAAATTTCTGATTAAGAGAGGAACAACTTTATCCACTGCACCACATCTTTACACACTTAAAACCTTATTTCAATTAAAACACCTTAACCCCTGATTTATTGTTCTTATTAAATATTTCGATTCAAAATTTGAAATTTGTTATTTGTATTTTTTATATTTATTACAAAGTATATATGTTAATTTTTTTCAATTATATACACCATGATCAATTGAAATATACATGAAATTTTACGTCTTGTTAAGACTAATTTATAGATCAATTGATGGTAATATGTATTATTAAAAAGGTTAAATATTTTATATAACTTATTTATCTACATAATGGCACTTCATATTTCGTGTAAAAATAAATTAAAATTTAATTGAAAGTGTATAATTCTCGATGTCTCGTGGCACAATTTAAATTTTAAGAGACAAACAACTCAATTTTGATTGTTAATTTGAACATAATATCTTTAAGATTCTTGAAATTAAGTTTACATAAACTACATAAAAATACTATAGATCATAATAATTATTAATTTAGGATATTTAAAAGTTATATAAAAAATTATTATTAAAAAAAAAAACATGTTCGTGCCATTACCTACCCAATAAAATCCCACGAAATAAGGAAAGAGAAACTTATTTGATTCAATTTTTTCTGCAAAATAGTGAAACTAATTTGGAGAATATAATTCTTAAAATGTATACAATTTTAATTCATAACGGCAAGTATTTTCTATAAATATAATATGCCAGCATGTCTTTTTATCTTTTTATTAAATTTACTCTTTTAAAAGCTATTTAAAAAAAAAATATTTGCAAAATATGAACTTCATAATGTACCTCTCATGTAAATTAGACGTTGAGATTATTTTTTTCATTCTCTTGATACAAAATGTTTCCATCGTAGAATTTTCTTTTATTATTAAGGAAATAATTCATAACTATGTAAATATTATAAGTTTATTTTAGATCATAAATTTTAAATGTGTTTATTTTTCTTTATCATATTAAATGGTGTTACATAAATTAAGATAAGAGAATCACAATAATTTTGAGGGGTCAATAAAAAAATATGAAGACACGTGATAAGAGATCGTTTAACCATAGATATTGCAAGCACTTTTTGAAAAATAATTTGGCAAAATTTATTTGGCCATAAAATTTGTCAAGTTTTGGAAAAAGGATTTGGCAAGAATATCAAAATCTACCAATTTTTATTTTATTTTTAGGCCAAAACTTGTTAAGTTCTTTTAAAATTTTAAAAACATTACTTCAAATTTTTATATTTTATATAAGAATAAGAAAATCCATTAATTATGAGTTTATATAGCCCAAACTCTAATTCTATCTACCCAACTCTTGAGAGTAACAATGTTACTTCACTTTCTCGATTATATAGTCTGAAAATGTATGTTTATCGTGCATACATTATTCGTAAACGTGAAAAATTTCAATTAAAAACTAACTAGCTACTATTGTTGTTATTGTTTATTTATTTGCATCAGTAAATCTTCGTAACTAATTGTAAATTGACGAATATTATTTTTTTATTTTTTTTAAAAAAGTGAAATATATATGTTTCCCAAAAACGCTAAAACTTCATTCCAAATTTTATCAAAATCTCAATATCTATTTATTTTTTTGAAAATTTATGACCAAACGTTAACTTTATATTCCTAATTTCGTGGATTTGGAGGAAAGTGGAGTG